CCTTATAGGTCAGTAGCAATATTTTGAAATCAATACGGAACTTGAAAGGTAACCAGTGTAGAGATGATAAAATTGGGGTAATACGATCATATTTTTTCGATCTGATAAGAACTCTAGCAGTTGCATTTTGGACTAACTGTAGCTTGTTAATTAAAGACGCAGGACACCCAGCTAGCAGTGCATTACAGTAATCTAGTCGAAACTAGAGAAGTGTGACATAATAAACCTCTGTAAATAAATACAATTTAAATTCACATCTCTCACACTTTAATGCCATTTGAATGGAACATATACACTCCCTTCCAACTGGAATCATAGCGGAATGTCCACTTCGCAGGGCACTTACGATCGAATGGAACAAACGTCTGAAATGATTAGAGAAACATACAAAATGTGCAGAGCGCAAGGACTGGAATTGAGAACCACTGACATCTGTGCATCTCTCTCCTACAAACAATGAAACTGTGTTTGGTTACTTCAAAAACAACTATTTTACCTCCTTGTTGTTACGAAATGTATTGTAGCTATCAAGTATTTAAGCTATTTTATTGATAGAAGTCACAGGGCAGCGTTGACGACAAGTTTCTGTGCTCCTGAATGTTTCTGTGCGTGCGCAGCGCGATCTGTGATCTCTGTGTGTGTGCACTAATATAGAACGGTGATTAAACTGACTTGGAGCTACCTGCGCATTATACGGTTTTAATGCACACCTTCCAACCAATCAGGATCGAGTTTTCAGACAGAACATGGTATGAATATATTTACACAACAGTTCTTTCTGGTTCTTGAGTCTGATTGGCTGAGAGGTCTTTAAACCAATGAGATTCACCTCCATGGGAACCGTTTCGCCATTTGCATCACTCGTATTTCTCACAGCAAGCGTCATGGCCGACGACCGAATCCACTATAATTTTATAAATAATACTGTTTTTGTCACAGAATGTAGTTTTAAGGGGGGGTTTTTTTAGGTGAGAATTTACTTGTTTAGACTTTTCGGAGATGTGAGACGAGAGCAGCCTCACCTCGACCAGATCTTCTGGAATTTGCCGCTGACTCTGATGTCTCTATAGTGGCTAAACATGAGATATAATTTGTTTTGGGTAATTCTAACGGGCAGTCTTTGGTCTCGTTAATCTATTATTTGTTCATTCTGTGCACTGGATGGGAATAAGCGCTCTGTGCTGCTCAGTATTTGAGCTTTTCATATTATAATACTTGTTCTGTCCTATCTATCATGTTGTTGCCTCCTTAAAAAGCTGATTTTTTTTTGTTATTTTTCTTTATAAAACGGACAGTTCCGGTGCTTGATTCTGATTGGTTGAGCCACGTTCGGAGCTGTTGTAATTTTCATAGTTCATAGTTCACATTTCATAGTTCCCTAAAAATAATTTTTTTTGTTAATTTATTTAATAAATTGTTGTTTAATAGTATAAGTTTTGTGATGTCAAATAATTAGACATGTTTTTTAATTACTGAAATGGAATAAAAATGGAATCTAGAAAAAATTTAAACTGAAAACAAGGAATTTTGGGGAAAAAATTACTGATTTAACTCTTTCCCCGCCAGCATTTTTGAAAAAAAGTTGCCAGCCATCACCAGCGATTTTGATGATCTTCACAAAAATTTGATGGCCTTCTGTATATTTTGCTGTATGAATATTTGAATATGCAATACACCAAAATAAAGATCAGAGCCTCTACTTTTAAACAAAAAAAGTTTTATTTTAGCTTAAAGCATTCTTTTTTTTATCAACACTTGAATATAGGTAGGTTTCATAAAAAATGCATTATTTTGAGCAAAAAGGTGAGAAAATCACATTTTTATCAAAAACTACATCTGGGTAATGTTCAGTACGATTATCAAAGCATAAATCCAGTAAATCGCTTCCATCAACAC